ACCGGAACCGAGCCCCATCCAATGTCAGTGGCTCTCATGTACTCTTATAGAGATTTCGCGGCTTCTTGAGAGAGAGATATGAAACGGGAGATGTGGGTAATCGACCCAGGATTCGCGGTTTTAACAAGATACGTTGTCATTTGGAAATTATATGAAAATTATTCTGAGAACATCTGTTGTTAATTAATATTTTGTTTTATCTCTTATATCTATATACCATATAATTAAGTTTTCTGTGAAAACATTGCAAAAATTGATAAAGTGAATGTTGAAAAATATTATGAATTCGCGCAACTTCTGAAGAAAAGAAACGAAAGACAAGGGGAACTCGAGATGTAACCTGCGATTTGATTGCAATTCAATATTTTGTTACATTTTAATATGTATAATAATTCTACAAAGAAAAAATTTAAAAATATCATGAATTTACGTGCGACTTTATTTCTAATTCGAGTTCTCTGATTTTTGATCCGATTTTTCATCTTTAGACTAAAATTGCGGCTTGGGAATCAACTTTTTATATACATATTACGAACTATGTAACATGATTACAAACTATTTTAATTTAAAAAGCTGAAATGTGAAAAGAGGCAGTTATAATAAAAATATACTATCGTCACTTTGTGGGCACTAGAAGGCGTACAGGAAATTGCCTATTAAAGAGGAAAGATGATGAAAATCTTGATGATCATTTCATTATGCATTTTCGCCTGTACGTAAATCGATAATTCCTGATAAACTGTAATCGGATTTTTACATCGTCAATTTGTGGAGGGGATGTCGGCAGGATTTCGTTAAAGAAAACGAGGAATTGAATGCCACTTGCACGAGGAACCGCCCATTAATCTCACGAAAAGGAAAGCGGGACGGGCACGCTCTTCTCGCACGCAGGAATTTCTAGACATTTCCTCGAAGATTGGAAACGACGCGTAAGCTGGGGCGTGTCGTAGAAACAAGGACCTCTAACGAGGCTGAAGCCACGTGGTCCGTACATTTTCACACACCATAAAGCTGTTCACACTTGCGCGCCAACCAGAGATGAATAGATTCATCTCTGATGTGAGGACTGCCGATCGATCTGGAATAAGTAATCCGAGTAATATCGTGTCGAGTGTTTTAATGTGGGATGCTTACATCACCTCAAGGAATATTTGTCTTCTATCAGAAATGGTTTTCGTTTGCGGTTTTAACCGCAAGAGAGAGAGAGAATTTTTAGAAATTTATACACTAGAATCATTTTTATCCGAATGATGCCTGTTTTTGTGATTCACTAAAATACGAATACAATAATGATTTTGAATTTTTCTGTGACAGGAAAAATGTAACGATTGTCGAATTTATTTTTTTTTAATTTTGACGTCAACTATGACGTTATAAATAATATTAAAATAAATTACATAGCGACGGAATCGTATTACATAAAAATCTCGTATAAGAAAATTATTATTTCTAAATTAACAAAACCAGTATCAGCGCTCCGGCGCTTCAAACACAAGACAAAGACCAGATGAGACCGGAAGAGCTCTCGTAGTATAAGTAGACTGCATCGGCATGCACCTGCTTCCCTCCCTTCGGGAAGTTCTCTGGCTCTCGTCTTCGAAGAGAACTTGCATCGAGCCCGATCGGGCATAAACGTCGATTTACAATCGGGATATATATCAATCGTTTCCCAGTGCTCGAGTCGAAATCGTTATACCCAAGCCTAATAGAGAGCTCTTTCCTCTCCGCAATTGGAAGACGCGGTCGTTAGACTGCGCGATATCGCATTAACGTCGATGACCGGTCTGATCCCGGAGAACTCTGTCGCGGAGAGAGTGGGACCTCCATGGACTTCCGCCGCGAGAAAGAACGACGGACGTCGTAGCCGGAAAATCGGGCGTCACGGTCGTGGAACGGGCGCGCGGTGTTCCCCCGATGTTGCGCGAGCGATGCCAGGATGCGCAAAGTTCGCGGAAACAATAGGGGAGGAACGAGTGAATGAGGCGCGCCGGCGGAGCTGAAAGAGACGACACGCGGCCATTCAAGGGTGCCCCGGAGCGAGCGGGACCAACCGCCGACGCGGAGAGATCGGCCCGCAATCACGGTAGCCGGAAGGGTGCAGATAGACCGTGGGGCGACGGGGGTTTCGAGGGGGAGACGCAGCCTGTGCCCTTCTCCGTGAACTAGACAGGGACGGAGAAATAATTACAGAGACGCCTCGTCGATAAATCAAGCCCTTTCTCCGTTTCTCTCGCTCTTCCTCTTTCCCTCTCGCGCCCTCTCCGTCTATCCCTCTCCTTCCCTCCGCGAGGGGAGAGAGTACGGCGGTGCCCTGGCTGCGCAAAAGTCCCCCTCTAAAGCGTTCTCTCTGTCGGCGCTGCTGCCCTTTTTCACTATCTCTCTTTCTGTCTCTCCAATCTCCCTCTCTGCTCTCCGCGCGCGCTTTCCACCGTTAAGCCACGTTTCTTGCTTCGTAGAGCAGAGAGTAGTGTCTTTATTACGCTCGGTGCCTGGCCGCATTCTACAGGCTGACTCACAAACTCACGAAACTCGCCGCTGTTGTGACAGTTGTATAAAACTTGCCATTCAGTAGCGAATGATATGATGAAAATATTTAATTTTTCTCTACGGAAAACCGTCACAACGCAAATTAGCTTGCTGCGAAAAACTTGTTATATTTGCCAAATCAAGTTGGAAACGAAATCGAAGTAAATTACGAAGTTATTTTTAATCAAAATGGTTATCATTGACATCAATACCGTTTTATCATTAAAAAGAAATTTCTAATAAACCTTTTTAAAATTTCGATTATTTCAAATAGAATTTGATTAAAAAAAAAATAAATTCCAACGAAATCGAATTAGACTGGCGCAACTGCATCGTTCACGGACGATTTGCAGAATTTTCAGACCGTAATAATCTAAACTTGAAAGATTTAAGCCGGAGATCCGTTTTCTTTTCAGCACCCTTATTATCTTTGTGGTGAGGATACTCGACCTTTCCGCCGGATGTAAAAGAATGAGCAAAATTTCGTAATCAGCACTCGTTCTCTCTCATCTTCCAAGCTACTTATCGTTACTGAAATATTAAAGATTTCTTTTGATAAAAATTTTGAAGAAAATTTAATTGCATGTAAATAAATTTCTTTTATTTTTATTTTCTCTCAGATTTCTTTAAAATTAAATCAAACTGAATCGAATTGTTTTTTAAAGAGCAACAATTAGATAAATCTTTATCGTATTTAATTTTCTTAAGCAGTGGACAAAAATGAGATACCAAAACACCGACTGTAAAATATGATATCACCGCATTTTTTTCACAATTGCGAAATTAATTTGGAAATTGTACAAATGCAAATACAGATTTTCGAAGCGCTGTTTTTCAGCATCAATCTAGAACAGCAAGGCTATATTTCGCTCGCATTGTAAAAAGTGACTAATTTTTGTATCTTTAACTTCAAGATTTCCTGCAGCAAAAACTGTGCACTATATTTTCCCGGAACCATTCAACTTTGAGCCCGACATTCTACCTGAGATTAATCTATCGAAAATAATGCAGTGTGCCACTGGCGAATATCGCGATCTAAGGACACTCGGCGACTCCTTCGCGATTTTCGCAAGATTGTTTGAGAACCTCTTCCGCGCGGCGAGCAATACGGGTGGTCCACAGCGACCGCGTCGTGGCGGAACGAGCAAATACGCCGTCGGCATTTTTGACGGTGAAATCTGACTAGGTGGGATACCAGGGTACCCCGCGCGCGCGCGCAACGGCCATCATCCTCGTGTGCCCCTCGTCCATTACTACTGCTCGTACGGTGTATTACTCCTTTAAATCGCGGCAGCGTCGTCGTTCTCCCGTAAAGACGACTCCGACTTCTTGTCTCGCTTCTTCAAGTGGTTTATAAAAAAAGCGAAGTGGATCCGGCGCGAGATGCTCATACGTGCGTGCACACTTTCGAGGAAAATAACTCTCCCGCGCGAGACGTCCTTTTTAAGATCACTTCGAAATCTCTTCCGTGTTGGATCTTTTTGGAGAGCCGTAGAGCGACGGCGAGACGCCGCCGCTGCCGTTGTGTCGAACATTTCTCCGAGCTGAAATTGCGACGGCGTTCCTTCCGCCTCATTATTCCGGATGTTCGCTTTCGGGATTCTCAGATCGTATCGTCGAAAGTAAAGAAATTATGAATATTTTCCTTATCTCGTACATTGAGATAAATTTTTTTCTCGCATAATATCACGTTCCTGTTGCTTGTACTGCATTTGAATAAGAAAACGAGCTATAAATGCGTTTAAAAAAAGGGGCGCCGGGTTAACGGTAACGAGAATAATCTACGAGATTCGTATCACGTGTCTCCTTTCGCATTTTGGACCGCTATTTTCACGTCTGCTCTTTCTCTTCTGGGAATATTTTACTGGTAGACTGCCAGAGGAATTTTTCGTCGGTACAAAGACGTACGGAAACGTGTATGTTACAACACTGTCTCGCTCGATGTTTCTCTTCGGAGAACTGCGCACCGGTCACAAATATCACTCGTCTGAAAGAAAGGTTATAAAGTCGTCTCACCGAAAAGCCGCAAGAATTTTTGGCATTGTATTGTTTCCCCTTTAAATTCCGTTACTCTTTTTTTTTTAAAAAGCGTAAACTGAATTTTGCACACACGTTGCTAATATTTTTTATTTATATTAAATACAGGGATATTTGGAATCGATTTTTCGTTAGCAGAAATATCGATAGAGATATTATTTACTGCAATTTTTCAGTTTTTTATGCATTGTATATTTTGTAATTAAATCTCAAATTTTTATTATTACTAAAATTAAAGGTTTTTTTCTTAATTCGTGAGAAGCTCTTCTCTTTCAATCGCTTGTAACGCGCAAATTATTGACGCCTCGACATTTTTGCTAAGAAAAAGATGGCTCCAAAATGATGAACAAAGAAAAATTAATTTATTATAAGATTGTTTTCAAAATTCCGCACAACACTAACGAGTTTAACGTTTGCAATCTGATTTCTGCTTGCAGAAGGCGGAAGATTACAAAGGGAGTTGACCTATGCCTCGGAAGCGCTCGGCGAGGCTGCCTCCTCGACACACCAGCTCGTCATCCAGACGCCGAGGCATGCCGGGGTGAATATCTTGCACGTGGCCGCGCTCAAGGAACACTTGACCGTCCTGAAGGTCGCGACACAGGTTACGGTGCACCTGTTCGACACGTGAGTTCTCCACGCTTTCTCATTTGTATATACGGAAAGGGAGCCGTACGCCCGGTATCGCGCGCCGGCGTTTAATTTGAAAGCCGGATTAATTAGCGAGGGGGGATCAGGTCATTTGGCATAATGACGGTATAATTAATCTTTACGATGGGAAGAATTGTAGAGTTTGTACAGGGTGTTCGATTCCCATTGAAGCAAGATACAAGAAAATTATAAATATATAAATAAAATATTTAAACTTATACAGTCTTTGAAAAATAGATTTAAAAATTGAAAAATTAGTCAAATATTTTCTGCTTCAAATTTGCATAACGATAACAATATTATCGCACTAGTAAATTTAGTTTTATGTAACAATGACTATTGGAAAATAGATTTCTTCTTAAATAGATGTTAAATTTTACGTTTCCGATTTTTTTGTATTAAAACAAATTACTGCCTAAGAAACGCTGCGAAATCTCCTATTTACGAATGCTTGTGTTGCAGCACGTGGAGGCTCAAAGACTTATGCTACGCGCCGACCTTACCCACCTTCGACCTGCATTACATCGACCAGGTAATTCAAACGAGTATACACGCATGCATACGAGTCTGACATAAGCGTGCCTGCGCACGCAATGTGAATGGCGCGCGTGAACGCGTGTTTACGCACCTTTCTCGGTCATCAGACACCTAGCGAAGGCGTCAATGCCTGACATGTGTACGATGTGTCCGTTGATAAATTATTGATAAACTCTGCTAGCGAAACGTCGCGTATATTCAACGTTGAAATTTCTCAGTTCGGTTAAACCTGTGTATTATTAACAAAACCTGCCGTTAATTGCTAGAATTATTTATTGCTCCTGCATCACAACGTAAGTCGTGCATTCAAGTGTTTTCATGTATTTAATATTTAATTCTCTGATATTTCACTTGAATCTTTTGTTATGTAGAATTGTTATTTTTATCAACAGAATATTTAATTAATATACATGAATTTCCCAACATTTTTTTTAAAGAAATATCGAATCACCCTAAGTAAAAAAACAGTTGTGTACAAGTTTCTTCTCTAACGAGCGAGTACGTTAGAGAAGTGCGATAGTTGAGGCATTTCGAGTAGAAAAACGCGAGGTTTTATTACGTATACCAATCTGACTTCTAGGACATTACGACAAACGTGTTTCGCGAGGGATTGTTTTTTTATTTATTCGAATCTCTAATTATTGAAAATTACGAGTATATGAATATAAATTGATACAATAAAACGTTAATTTAACTTCGCTACAGAAAGAAAATAATTGCGGACGGAGACGAAACGCGGGATGTTGTCATTAAAATTCAGAGACTGAGATTTGAAGAAATGCTTGAAAATTCGCCAAACTTCTTTTGTTAAAGAAACAAGCGAATGAGGGGGATTTTCTCCGTATAGAGCGGTAAACAAAATCTGATCCGACTAATATCCGACTGCCCGACATTAACGATCGTCACACGGATTTTCTGGGTACTAGGCCATTACGAGGGCCCACCTCTGGGTTCCAGGAAACGGCCTCGGAATAGGGCCGTCCGCACACGTTATGTTCTTTCGTAACTCTGGCGCGTCTTACATCCCGTCAGACGGCGGGATAAGATCATCTTAGATTACACCTTGCATCTAAGCGATGTTTAAACAGCCCGTCTGCGTGCATTTCCTGAATGACACTTGAAAAGCAATCTCGCCAAGCTCGCAATTTGCATTCATTAAAGCAGACTCTCTCGCGCTCATTACTCGCGTATTGATTCGTCCAATTACTCGGCCGGAGAATTAAATTCTTTTAATTTTTTCAGAACGTTTCACCGAAGCGATACCAATTGAATTGAATTGGAGGACAATTTCTGTAATAGCAACCCTAATTTGCGAATTATACATTCGTGCGATTCACTATTCCCGACCGTTTTTTTTTATGCGTCCGTTGTATAATAAAAGTAACTGGTCTGTGTTAAAAATTAATAAGTTCAACTCGTTAACGATAACAAAATTATTAAGTTAATAAGTTAAAATTAATAAGTTCAACGTTAACGATAACAAAATTATATGATATTGTTAACAATAATAATTGCATGGCAAAATTAATGCTCAAATTCAACGGGTTACAATTTTTTTTTTAGTTGAACTAAATATTGTTATCAAAAATCAAATTAAAGTATAAATTCGCTCGTAAAGAAACATTTACATCACTTCTCGAGGTGCCTATAAGCCTACGCAACTGCAAACACAGAGATGCACACGCCGTATCGGCTGCATCACACGCGGGGGGAGGGGGGGGGAGGCTGCGAAGGGCGCAGGGCGAAAGAACAAGCAATTAGCGTTGAATAATGACATCGACGTCCCGCTGCGGTACACAGTAACGCGTCGGATGTGTTTCGTGCCATTTCACGCTAAAACAATCACTTTTCGGAGCGCAGAAAATAAACCTTCTGGATTTAATTAGCTTGAAATATGTACGAAGAAAGTCTAACGCTAATGTGCGATTAAAAAACAACACATGTAAGATATATTTAAGATGCAAATTCTTACGACATTTACAAAATGTGCCATTCACAGAATAATAAGTTCATTTTTTATCATAAAATTCTATTTCATTTGATTTTCCTTTACAAATTATTAAGTCCTTTTCTTGAATAAAACTGCGAAGGATGAGCTTTTGATGACAGAAATTTTTGAGAAAAGTTCTTTGTGATAAATCAAGCCCTAAATAATCTAGGATTGAACAATAATATTAAACCTAATTAATGATGATAATTGTTTCTTTGCAGATCTTTGAAAATATTATACCGTGCGCTATCATCACGCCGCTCGACTGTTTTTGGGAGGGCAGCAAGCTCTTGGGCCCGGAATTTCCCGTTCATCTACCGTGAGTATTTCCAATTAGCTTCACAGCAGCTTGTTAATAATATTGAACACGGCCCTCTCAGTCTCGCACATCGCTAACACTCAACGAAATTATTTAGATCTCTCTTTCGGTTAAGCAGTGGAACGAAGATGAACAAACCCGTTCAATGGACGAATCTTAATCCCACCGAACTGCTGGACGACATAAAGAAATTGCAATTCGCAAGTTCGTTTCCCTTTAAAACGCTCGAGGATCACATGAAGCGAGCCGGAATAACGAACGGCTATCAGAGCAAGCCTTGCCTGAACCCGGCGGATCCGGAATGTCCGGAAACCGCGCCTAACAAAAAATCTCAAAAGGTAAGATTCGTGCGATGCGCACACGTGAGGACCAATCTGTTAGAACAGCTTTCAAAGCTGTTCGGAAAAAAAAAAAAAACATAATTGTGTAACATTAAGATATTCTCGCCTGTTGGAAGTTTTTTGAGTGGAATTCACAATTTCGCGGCGCGAAAGATAAGCAGCGAATGCTTCGCATACCAAATGCACGGTTTAAATTTGGAAACGCGATAGGACGAAAATACGCGATTCCGAAGCGCTACGGCGAAAGTTGTGACTTGTCATTCGATTGGAGTACGTGTATCGCGTTAAACGAAAAATCACTGCAACAAGATAATATAAAGACGATGTCAGCGGCGCGACATTCGTCCACGCGGCTCGCGTCGTGAATAACAAGTGACCGTTTGAAATTCTCTAGCGGGCACTGCAGACGGTTTGTGCACGCACGTACGTAACGCGAACCGGTGGACGCTTTGATGTCCAGTCAGCGCGGTCTGCGGACAGCGGAGTGACGTCGGTGATGAATATTTAATCGCGCGCGTCCGCGCAATCGGAACCGCTGAATTTCTTTCGCGATATCTCGATGACGATATCGTTCGCATGCAGCTGTGCGATGAAAGATTTTAAGTTAAGCGTCGCCTCGTTCAATTACGTCGCCGCAACTTTGCACGTGTTACGCACATTTCACACTCTCTGCATTAATTTCTCCGAAGATATTCTTGTGATTTTTATTAGAAATTTTGGCTATACTTATAGAATAATAACACGTCGATTGAATCAATTTTTTTACTCGAAAGCAGTCTTGTCGCTGCGCGGCGAGTGTCAGTCGCGACGGCCATCGTCGATGATGACGTCCGCGGACGTTTGTCGTGCGACACCGGACGATTCAGCGAGGGTTTGATTTTGAATGAAGGAACGATTCCTGCGCGAAATGACCGATGAGTATGCGAGTCGCGTGGGCCACGGCGCGGCGGCCCATTAAAATAATAAAACCGAGTGACGTGCGTCATTATTGCGCTACGTCGGTGGTCGAGAGCATGCTTCCTCGGGCAGCCCAGGTCGGTCCCACACGCGCGCGCGCGCACCGCGCATCGCATTACGCGGCCGTCATTTCGGTGTCATTAACATACGTGCGCGGCCGGTCCGCTCTGACACGTGCACAACGTGAATCGCATCGCTACGCGCGCGATGCGTATATTAGCATCAACAAAGTTACATTTTCTTCTCTCTCTCTCTCTCTCTCTCTCTCTCTCTCTCTTTCACGCACACATCTATTTCTATTTTTATAACGGGTATATGCGCGCTCTCGTACTTAAAGTAATTGCACTTAATGACCACGCGGCATGCATACGCTCTTCGGAATATTTCGAGTGTAGCTGCAGGCGGGGCACGTTGATCGGCTGTTTAAGTCCCGAGAACCGGCATCGCGTATTCCGCGTATACGGTATATGTCCCGGAGAGGTGCGCGTGATTGCCGCAGCATCTCCTCGCGCAGCAACTACTTTTTCGACTTACCGGCCACCCGAAATTAACGCTACTAATTCATCGCTTCGCACTTAATTAATGTAGAAATAACAGATGTGTAAGCTTTGTTCGCGGGTAACTTAAAAATAGCTCTTCTCTTCCACGTCGCTTCGGCCAAAAAAGTATGCGTGAATGTGCGGGATAAGAAGCGCCAGCGACCTGCTTGCGTTTCTCTCGAACACATGTCTACGTCGCGCGAGGACGCGGTGTCGCGAGTAAAAAGTGCGGAAAGCGTGTCGATGAAACTTGACTACATTCTACACGCTTCTTCGTGGAATTACGCAACACCAGGCCGAGGTGTCGGATTTGAATCACACGTGTGCAATCGGGGACGATCGCGCGACTTTATTTGGTATGCCGTCGCTATGCAGCTCATCGTACACTTCCGATGCAGCGGCATTCGATGACGTGTCTATAATTCAATTAGAGCGACTGTCTGGTCAGAACCAGCTGCGACGACTCGATTGAACTAATAAAACACAAAAAGTGGAGCTCACGCATAAAGCGATGAGATAATGAAAAAAAAAAAAAATCATTCATAAAAATAGATCTTTGATGTTTACTTATCTATTTTCTACATATTGCAATTTTCCAATTTCTATCATTAAGCTTTATATTGAAATTCCAAATCGAAGGATGCAATTTTATTATTTGTTTTTCGCGTGGTTTTCGAAAGTGTCTTTTTTTATTGTTTATACTTCGAAAAAGCTGCGGGTGTCCCAGCATTCTTGTGGAGGAAAAATTGACATAAAATTGAGCAAAGAAACCACAAATCAAAGAAAGAATATCAGGAAAGAAAACTTCTCTCGGCCAAGATGCGCCCAGACAATAATAATTCCGCGGTTGGGTTTCTATTCTTCGCCGCGTCGCGGAGAATGTCCGTCTGTTCTTCGTGTGATATAAAGGACAGTGGACGAGGCCCGAGGCCAGCTAGATCATCCGAAGTCACGGCTTTGGTATGCTCTTTTATAGGGCCCTATAAAAATCTCTCGTTGTGGGGTCCGCGCACCCCCGGCCACCCTATAAGAAAGAACGTCGCTCGAAACCCCCTGTAATAATTCTTTGTGTCGGGGGAATTCCTGGCGTGACTTGACACGGTTGCGCCTTCGGTCACGCTCGAGAAATTCATAGACGAAAAACAAAATGTTGCGGAAGGGCTCAAGGTTGACAGAGATAGGAGAAGAAACGCGATATGCCTGAGATGATTAACGCTTGAAATCGCAAGCGAGAGTTCAATCTCGCTCCCAATTATTATTTCTTTTTTTGTGTCAATTATTATTTCTAAATTAAATGAACGAAAAACTGTCGTTAGAAATCTGTCAATTCTCAGAAATCAATTGTGAAAAAATAATTGCTTCACTTTTATTTCACTTCTGTATGCGAGAGGAATATTACAATATTTTGGAGCTGATTTTTTTTTTATGTACATAAAATTTCCAACAAAATTAGTATGTGGAATGAATGGGCTACCGATGCTGAAATGCAGAACCTGAAGATTTGCCTTGCGGACAGTTCATTTATTCCACATAGAAATATTAATATTATCGACAAAACAGTCTCGCAAATATCATCGCTGTCTGCGACAGGTACCTGACGTGGGAGCCGAATTGACAGGCGGCTGCTACGGATTCGCAGCGAAATACATGCACTGGCCGGAGGAGCTGGTGGTCGGCGGCGCCAAGCACAACAAGACGGGTCATTTGACCCGCGCGGCCGCGTTACAGACTGTGGTGCAGCTGATGGGAGAACGGGAGCTGTACGACTTCCTGTCGGCCACCTACAAGGTCCACCACATCGACTGGTCGCTGGAAAAGGCAACGCAGGTGTTGGAGACTTGGCAGCGGGCGTTCAGCAACGAGGTGAAGAGGATGGTGAACACCGCGAACGGGTCGGCGCCGTACAATCTGTACGCCTTTAGCACGACCACGATGAACGACATTCTTGGGAAGTACAGCGAGGTGTCCGTCATGAAGATCGCGATCGGATGCTCGGTGATGGTTAGAAAGAACTTTGTTAATAATTTGATTAATATTTTTTTTTTGTTACTTTTTCTCACGATTGATTACAAAATATACGAAGGATACCGGAAGCCTCTTATTTCATCAGCCCATTTGACACAATTTTGCTTTATCTTTTCAGTTGCTGTATTCCGGATTCGTACTGTTTCGTTGGAGCGACCCGGTGCGCTCGCAGTCCGCAGTGGGAATAGCTGGTGTGATACTGGTCTGTGCCACGGCGGCTGCCGGATTGGGTTTCTGCGCGCTCCTCGGGATCCCGTTTAACGCCACAACGACACAGATAGTGCCGTTTCTCGCGCTCGGCCTGGGCGTGTACGAGATGTTCCTGCTGACACACACGTACGCCGAGCTGTCGGTGAATGAGGTGCCCAGCGGCGAGCAGACGGGCGTCGTTCTCAAACGAACCGGTCTGTCGGTGCTGCTGACGGGCCTCTGCACCGTTTCCGCCTTCTTCGCGGCGGCGATAATACCGATCCCGGTCCTGCGAACGTTCTGTCTGCAGGCTGGTATTCTCTTGCTGTTCAACTTGGGCGCCATGCTGCTGATATTCCCCGCGATGATCAGCCTGGACTTGCGACGGCGGCGTTCCGGCAGACGGGATATCCTCTGCTGTTGCCTGCCAGCGCCGATCAATCCGATCGGCAAGAACAAATATTCCGCGAAGAACAACGGCACGGTCAAGCAGACGGTCACCAGAGCGATACCACCTGAGAGACGAGAAACCTGCACGCAGATCTTAACGTCACAGAACACGCAGAACGAATCCTGGGTATGAAATGACATACATGTATGCATACCGTATGCACATTTCATTTTACTTTGACGTTTTGCGAGAATAAATATACCGAATTCTAGCAATTGATTTTAACGAAAAGTTTTAGTTTTAAAAGAGAAGAAAAGCTATAAAAAAATGATAGTTATAGTTTTGATCCGTTTGCATCGTGAAATTGCAAAGCAAGCCTACAAGCAGCCTTTTTTGTTGTTGCAGATAGGAGGAAATATCATGGATGCGGAATTGGACAAGCAGTGTACGGAGGCGGACGCTCTGACCGATTGTTCGCAATCCAACGACTGCCTGAGCTTCTCCCTGACGCAGCTTGCGGCTCGGTATTACGCACCGTTCATCAGCAAAGTGGCCACCAAAGTGTGCGGCATGATATTCATGGCGATCGTATTGGCCTGCAGCGTGTGGCAGGCGATGCGTGTGCGCGACGGTCTAGATCTGACCGATCTTGTGCCACAAAACTCGAACGAGCACGCATTCTTGGCCGCCCAGGCGAAACATTTCGGCTTCTACAACATGTATGCGGTGACCGGTCGGGACTTTGAGTATCCGAACAATCAGCGGGTGCTTTACGATTATCACGACGCCTTCATGCGGATCAAGAACGTCATCAAGAACGATAACGGAGGCCTGCCGGAATTCTGGCTCAGTCTGTTCCGCGAATGGCTGAAGGGCCTGCAGGCGGCGTTCGACAAAGACTACAGCAACGGTTGCATCACTCAGGAAAGGTGGTACCACAACGCCAGCGACGAGGCGATCCTCGCGTACAAGCTGCTCGTACAGACCGGCCACGTGGACAATCCGATCGACAAATCGTTGGTCACTCACGTGCGACTCGTCGACAACGAGGGCGTCATCAATCCGCGCGCCTTCTACAATTACTTGAGCGCGTGGGCGTCCAACGACGCGCTCGCTTACGGCGCCTCGCAGGCGAACCTGAGGCCCGAGCCGCGCGTGTGGATTTACACCAACGATCACGAGCTCAAGATCCCAAAAAGCATGCCGCTTACTTACGCGCAGATGCCGTTCTATCTGCACAGGCTCACCGACACGCAGGAAATCACGGAACTGATCAGCAGCGTCCGGAAATTGTGCAAGAGATTTGAGGAGCGCGGTCTGCCGAATTTCCCGTCCGGTATACCGTTTCTGTTCTGGGAACAGTACATGGATCTGAGAAGCTGGCTGGGCTTCGCCTTGCTGACTGCGCTGGGTGTGAGCGTCGTCGTGGTTGCAGTGCTGCTACTGAACATGTGGGCTGCTTTACTGGTCGGCATTTCCCTCGCCTCCGTTGTTCTGCAGCTCTTGGGTATCATGGGCATATTCGGTATCAAATTGAGCGCGGTGTCCGCCGTGCTGCTGGTGGTCAGTGTGGGCATAGCTGTTCATTTCACCGTGCACATTTGTTTGGTGAGTGCGCAAATTCGAAAGTCAGTCTTCTCTTTTAGCATTAACTTGATTCTTTTAACATTCAGACTTCTTACATCTCACTTGATAGGAAATTGTCAAAGCGACAATTTGTATTCTATTTCACTTCTCTTTCTTCGAGGATCCAAAAACGATCGAAACGTTTGTCATTTTTATTGAATATTGATATAATTTTTTTTTCTTTTATTTTTTTTTTACAAGTTTACTAATATATATTACTTTTCCAGAGTTTCATCACGAGTGTGGGCAGCAGGGACCGCAGGACGCGCTTGTCTCTGGAGCACATGTACTCTCCAATTGTCCACGGTGCATGCACCACGCTGATCGCGGTGCTGATGCTTGCCTTTTCGGAGTTCGACTTCATAGTCAATTACTTCTTCTTTGTGCTGCTCTTCATGATCTTTATCGGCCTTTTCAACGGACTCTTTTTCTTCCCGATCTTGCTATCTCTGATCGGCCCGTCGGCCGAAGTGATCCCGAATGATCATCCGGATCGCATATCCACGCCGACGCCGCCGGCGTCGCCCATCGTGAGACGATCCAAGCCGCCTACGATGCCGAGGAGATCTCTCAAGATCGACAATTCCCGGCTGCACGCCGAGCCGTCGCTCACGACCATCACCGAGGAGCCCAACTCGTGGCACAGCACGCAAGAGTCCTGCATCATCGTCCAGCCGGAACTCAAGGTGGAGACCACGTCCACTTGCGGCAATCAGGTACGTTCGCGCAGTGTTGTGACAATGAGCAAATTCGCGATTTGATATCGATTATCGATCAGCATGGAACACCTTTTCTAATAAAGCGTAATTTGTCGCGTCCCTGCGAGCATGACTAACGCGTGTGTTCTCATTTTGACTAACAGAACTGTAGCGGATCGGACACGAGTGGGTCTAGTCGAACGTCGCCGGTTCCGTCCACGTCACACATCACCACTAAAGTCACTGCGACGGCGAACATAAAGGTCGAAGTTCACACGCCATTGACCAGTGAGTATCTAATTTCGCAGATTCTTCAAAGTTATTCCGAAGCGCCTCCGAAGTTATCCGAGATCTGAACTAACCCGAAAAATGCTTTCTTACTAATGCACATAACTGTGATTGAGTATTGCCGGAAAATATCGACTTTTAAATGTTTTTTTTTTGTTAATATTCTTAAAATCTTACTTAAAAGATGCAATACTCGCCAAAATACGTATATAACATTGTACACGCACATTGCGAAAGGATTTGTAACAACATATTATGTATATTTTTCTACTTCGCTATTTCTACAGTTTTTTTTTTTTTTATATTAGTTTTAAATTTCCGTGAGATAATCTTGTTTGTGGATGACAACATGCTCATTTCCATTCGAACTATTGTAGGTGGAGTGGATCGTAGTGAAAAATGCCGGCATACGGGCACCAGTCGAAGGAGCTCGCGCTGCAGTGCGAACGTTAATGCTGGGGAGTCTTCCGGCTCCAGTTCTGAGCCGGATACAGAATCTAACCCAAAGCACTAATAACAAGCACCAGGGGGACCGGCAGCTACTGCTCAAGTACCACGCAAAGCGGGAAAACACAGAAGGCTGATTAGGATATAGATTAATAGGTTCTCCACTCTCTCTCTCTCTCTCTCTCTCCCTCCCTATTTTCTTCTTTCTCCACCTGCCATCAATTATCTTTCACTTTTTTTCTTTCGCTCCTTCCTTCGAGTGAGGAATGTAACATGGTTGTCTCACTACGAATTTTAAAAATGAAAGTATTATAACGCATTTTTATAATATAGGTAAATATTTTTTCGGGAATGTTTTTATCACACGTTTAGATTTACGCTTTTTACAAGAGTAAATCAAAAAGTAAGGGGACATTTAAGGAATCAAACTCTTTAAAATGGCCCATTTACTTTTTCTCTTAGACACCAAAAATTTCTTAAAGTTTCAGGCAGACTATAAGAGTAAAAATTTGTATTCGAGCTTGTCGAATTATATTTATATGTTCTGCCTGTACTATCGCACGGTTCGCTATAATGATTTTATAAGCAAGGGATTTAAATTTTTAATCAAACTGCAATTTGAATTAAAAATTTTAGTTTTTTTATATTTTTAGTGGAATGATAATATCAACGGAATCGCGTGGTATATTATTCGAATAGTTGTACACAACACAAGAGCGAGGCGCAGTTCAAAAGTGACGTATTTCTACGTATTTATATTTTTTACCCGACAGTCGACACTATGGTTTGTGATTTCGGGCGGAGAAGGTGACCATACAATAAGAGATACACAATTGTCGTTGGTGCGAGCGTATAAGACGAAATAGAATTTTCTTCAAACGTGTCTTCAAAAGAATAATGGAAATCACGGACGAAGAACAGTTTGTGATCATCAAATATCTACATAGAATAGGAAAAGAGAGTGAAGATATTCAAAAGGAATTAAACTTGTATTTTGGAAAGAATGCATTGAACTACCATACTATATCTAAATTCATATTAAAGTTGAGATATAAGCCTGCCATTGCCGAAGTGGAGCACATATACGACAATACCGACGAAAGGTTGGTTAAAGCGGTGATTCGGAAGCACTGTCGAGCGAGTATAGAATTTATTTGTGCTCAAACGAACATATCCTACGAGAAGGTAGTGGAAATCATGGAACATCTTAAACTGACAAATGCATATACTCGCTGGATGCCGAAAACGTTTGAGATGGATTGTAAATTGTGGCGCGTGGAATACTGTGCAAACATGTTGATAAGATACCATACGGAACCAGATTTTTTGCAAAAGATGATCATCGTGCAAGAGATGTGGCTACCCATATTCAGCGTGAAAAAAAGGTCAATTGAATATTTAAGTTTGTCAGGAGAAAAAGAATCTCCACAAATTAAATATGACAACATTTTTCACCAAATAATTTTCTGGGACCAAGAGGGACTTATCTATCATCATTCTATTTCAAGGGAAAACATCATCTCTCGTGAATCTTATAAGAACATTATACAGGATCACTTGTTGCCTCAAATTGCAAAATTACGACCGAAATTGACGGACAAAATCATACTCCATCACGACAGTGTCACATTGAATCAAACTATCTACAACTCTACATTTCTGTACGACAAAATTGAGTCAGTAATAACCCCTCCCGAATCGCCCGATCTTTTTCCTGGTGATTTCTGGTTCATTAACCATGTGAAAAATGCATTCGAAGGAAAAGAATTCCTATCAGTGAACCGTTTGGAATTTACAATCTGGAATTGGTTAAGAGAAATGCATTCGAAAAAGACATTTGAATACAATTACAAGGTGTTGATTCAGCACTGGAAACAGTGCTTACGTTCTCACGGAGAGTGTTTACTAAATACGCAGTGGTAAAATTCCTTTGTGAGCGAATAAACCTTTTCGAAAATTTTGACCGTTAATTTTTGAACTGCGTCTCGTGTGCCGGAGACAATAATGTGACAATTTTTACAAATCTATTCAATAAACTATTTTAGATAAACTAATTTAAATGGTAACTTGCGACAAAGGCGATCTGAGCGATATACTATTGATAAAAACACAGACATTGCGCGATTTATCGATAATATATCTAGCCGCCTATGCTTTTAATAAACAAAAATTCTACCTCTGTTTATTAAAAGAACGTACTAAGGTGTCTATATCGATGAAATGTTTAGAAAATGCTTATTTAACCAAAAAAGTAAGTAAGCATTTCCTTCACAAAGCTGTACACACTTGTTATGAATATTTAATTAGAAAATTAAAGGTTTCACTGCCACTAGGACGTGACGTTTTAGATGTAGCTGCGAAATTTTTGTTTACGAAGATGATGGCCTCATGCGAGAGAGCGAGAATATGACGGCGGAATTTTCTACAGATATTATACTATTTATTTTCTAAGCTAATAATATGCAATGAGCGGCGTGTATGTGACTACAAAGCGTTATACTGAACTCTGAGATATATTTATTATTTATTTTAATAATATTCCTCGACGGGGGTGTGCGTGTACGCGAAATGGCGCATATTTTGCTCGGTTTTGCGTACAACACGTTGATTTGTAAAAAATAATTATTTATATCGAGTTAAAGGATAGAGAGCTACGAGATATTTTCATTGCGTACGGCGACGAAGATGACGGTACTTAATTTAACAAAGTATCTATTCCTATCCTGATTCATACCTCTGTGTAAAAAGTTGTAATATACAGCGCCAAGTGACCAATAGTCACCGTGTCACACGCATTAACGTAAGGTATGACTCGTGAAGTATCATGTACAATATAAGAAAGATGTATTTCTTACGCCAAGTCAATTTTGTATACATACGCGAGATTCTAGATATTTTGTATTTAAAGCGGCGACGCGCACGTTTTGCGAAACGGTCTTTTACACTTTGTATAAAAGTACATTTCAATATAAGTTCGGAAGGGAAAAAAAGAGATAGTCAATATACCTCTAATATACGTATAAATGGCACACGATGACTTCGATTATGATTACTTCGAACATTTCATTGTAAGAATCTGATTTATTTCGATGTAACGAATGTAGAAGCGGCTACATGTACGATTTATAATCTCATTTTTGTAAATATAACATTGTAATAAAAACTATTACCTTTTATGTTATCACGATATTTCCAATTATACATATTAAATCGTTACTTTGCACAATTGTCGTTGAAGACAATCTAACAATACTCGATCTGTGTTAAAATACAATGATTTTGTGTTTCGTGTAATACTAATCACATGTACGTCACAAATTTACTTTGAACAATGCTTCATAATTTCACTTTTTAATTAAAAAAAAAAATGATTTTGTCAGTACACGTAAATCGTATTCATGATAAATCTATATTTTCAAAACTAAATTTACATTTTTTATTCCATGAAACTCATTTTACAGAATTAAATTATAACTTCTTCGCGCCGATGAGCGCCGTGTAGCGGAAACTGTCGATTGCGCCATCTCGTCAAAGATACTGCAAACAATTCTGTTCTTCTCGGCTGACTTCCGCTGTAGCCGGTTTACGCAACAGACGAGGCCAGTCTGTTCACTGGGAAAAGCATTTGTAAGATAAAAGTCCTCAACGAAAAGATGTTGCGTGTTGTAGCGGGTCGCGTAGCTTCGGCGACGTGCAAGGCGTTATTGCCCCGAAACGCGGCTGTCGTCGTCGGGACACAGAGTGTCCGAGCTGCCCACGGCGGTCCCAAGGAAACCGATGCGGAATTTGACGAGCGATACACGAACTTCTTCAACCGCAAAGATATCGATCACTGGGAGATTCGAAAGGCCTTGAACGACTTGGCCGGTGAGTCTCAAGCTTTATTTATATTTAACGTTTATTTATCGTCAACGATGTTTGACATTCTTGATTAATGAACGCAATGACACTTCGACAGCAGATTTTACTTTACCTGAGATGAGAACACTAAAAGTGTTTGTAGCTGCGTTACATACACAAACTTGTGTATTAGAATAAAATATAGTAGAAACTTGCAATGGTAATACTTGTTAACTTATTTGCGAGAAAGATTAACTTTACATTTTACACAATATGTTACAAATGTTCTCAACCCCTTTAAAAATGTGTTAATATAGCATGAGGTCAACAAGTGTAGAAATGAATTTGTTGTTGATAAAACTGTTGATGTTTTAGGTATGGATCTTGTGCCGGAACCAACGATTGTAATCGCAGCACTGGGAGCGTGCAGAAGGTTAAATGACTTTGCGCTTGCTGTAAGGTTGCTGGAGACCATAAAGGATAAAGCTGGACCAAATGCTGACAAGATTTATCCGTATATAATTCAAGAAATCAGACCTACTTTGAACGAGTTGGGCATCAGCACACCTGAAGAGCTGGGTTACGACAAGCCGGAATTAGCCTGCGAATCGGTTGATCATATGTAATTAACTAAATTAATACAAATTCTAGTATTTATATTCTTAGCTGCTGTCACAGATGCGCTCGATGAAAGAATAATTTGTCAGTGAAACTGAACTATACTTTCATGTACCTGCGTTATCAGCAGCGCGTTGTTGAATAAACAATTACAATTGTCATAATTACGTTTGTTGTTCGTGAGGAATCGAACGTAATTTATGATACTGCGTACTTTTAATTCTATTGAGTTTAACAGAGACTTAGTTACAAAGATATATGATGCGGAAACTGAAAAATTGCAATAAATGATGTCGTGAAATTATCGTCCGATATTTTTGGCGAGGAGAAAGTCCACTCTACTGAAAAAATTGTTCAAATTAAAATCACAAGTTGTGAGACACTCTACGTGTTCCCTGAAGATTGTCAAATTTGCCCGTTTCTTTAATGTAGTAGCAAACGATTGTTGAACAAATTAATTTGAATAAAATGAAAATAAAGTATAAAATAATGCAATGACTTGGAAATCAGAATATACACAGCAACGAAGTCATATACACATACGTCTATAATTATCTAAAGTCGTAATACATATTTTTTTGTTTTCTCGAATGACATTTAACTTAATTTATGCTCTGTGTGCTTTGTTAAAAACAACAGAGGGAAAATATACATGTTTATCTTACACGTGAGTACAGATATATTACATCATTAATGTAGTGGCCCTGATCATAAAAAAACAACGCAACAATTAATATCTAGTCATTATGATACGTTTTTAATCATATTTACTCCTAACTTTTAACTATTTTTTTTTTCCCCTATAATGTTATAAAAATCTCTTTGGTATTATTAAACATGGTGTTAAGGGCAGTTTGTCGTTTCAATGTTACGATCTTCGGAGACCAGAGTTAATCCAATTAACAATCACATAATGCTAAACAAAATTGAAGACCATCATTTTTATATAATCGTTCCACACACGATGCACACGTCGGTTATATACAAAGAAAAAGCTCAACGCAAATACAAAAAGTTATAACAAAATTGCTTCTAAGAAGATATGATTCCACCTTTCGGCACCGCAACATTGAAACAAGGTTGCACGCAAAAAATACGATTTTTCACTGCTTTTTAGATACATTATATAAAAATGGATTGATGATTTAAATACCATGACATAGTTCGACTACTTAATGTAAAATAGAATCGATTTTTTTTTTCTTTTTTTTTCTCTTTTTGATTACCTTCGAGTGAAGGACAGTGTATCCTGATTTCTCTACAATCGCATAACCCGCTCTTTAGAAAATTAATACGTACACATCTCGCCATGGTTACTCTTTCAAGAACATCAAAGAATCTTTCATAGAAATATACTACCTTTTTCCGCGTCAATAAAAAAAAAAAAAATATGCTAATCGAAGCAAGTACGTAATAAATAGTGCAGTACGATTCTCATAAAATAAGACTGTGGACACACGCCTCGTTGGTGTGTTTTGAAATTTCAAATATCCACGTATCTTGTTTTATTGAAAAAAACATATATCTTATATCCTATTTGTACCCGTCAGAAATGCTTAATTCTTTTTTTTTTTTTGTCATTATCTCTACTATGTCGATCCTTTATGTATATATTATATGCGTGCAGGCCATTTCACTTATTTCGAAACCTACACGTCACTTTTAACAATGCGAAAATTTATCCATACTGTTCAGAAACAAATGGAATGAATATATATTTCGAATATATATTCTAAGCGATCGATATAAGTAAAATGCCCCGTATATTGTTACATAACTCTGCGATAAGAAAGAAAATTGATAATTTTTTCACTAGCGCTCGGAGTTTCTCGATGGCCGAACAATTCTAACAGATCAAATTTCAAACGTATTCAAACGTTACGTTTCGGAATTGCATTGAACTGTTCGAACAGATCGACCATACAATTCGTCCTTAATGTTCGAGCTCTATATTTTTCTTATTCTTAAAAATAGGTTTTTTCAAAGAGATGATCAATTTGTTTGGAAATGGAGTCAAATTCTCTAAAAATTCTACATTCTTATTAAACTTCCGATTGAATTATCTATTAGAATCTAAGGAGAAGAGAGAGAGAGAGAGAGAGAGAGAGAGAGAGAGAGAAAGAGAGAAAGGGAGAGAACCGAAGAAGTTACTTTTTGCTGCTTATGGAAGCGATCGAGCTTTACGATAAATTAACAATCTTCATATGTATACACATTTGAATTATAATCAAAATCAAATGTCTTTGGTATGTCAACCTGGGCTCTGGACAGACTAGATAAAAAATATGTGTTCAGCCTGCCGCGAGAAAACTGCCGGAAAAAAAAGTACAATTGACTTTCCATTTTCCAATGCGGGATAGATCAGAAATTCGCAAACGATCTGCGCAAACAACGGACACACATCGTCGAGAAATTAACACACTACAGCCGAGAAATTGAATTGCGAGTGAGAATACTCTCAAGCGTACTATGATAAAATCTTGAGTACAAATATCTCTAAATTCTAAGTCACAAATCAATGATGCACTCTCATCCATTCCCACTTTCGGATACAACGTCATTGTTTGACGGCGCAGTCAGCAAGACACACTACATAGTACAGTGGCTCAAAGAGAAGAAAAAGGAAACACAACACCAATCGTTATTAAATTCTTCCACACTTCTTGTCCGTTCCGTCTTGTCGGTGCGCGCGGACGCGTGTGCAGGAGAGATTTTTTTCCGATTAACTAGATTACACTTAACGCATTTTTATTCTGGGCTAGATACAGTTTGTTGTTGTTGGCTGTCCTCGTCCTTGACCTCGGCCTGCATGGCCTTGGTCAGAACGTTGGCGTCCTTTAACGATATTACTTGAAGAACCTGGTGCTCCCCAGCGGCGTTTATCATAGTCATCGGGTGACCCTGTATAGTGACGGCCTCGATGGTGTCCCCATTTCCTGGTTCGACCTTGGGCACCTGCACCATCGGCGTCACCACCTGCATCGTACCGTCGCTCTGGATGTTAGCTACCATGGTCTGATACATGCTGGCGGACACCGGCACAGTGATCACACCCGAGACCGAGACTGGATATCCTGTAACATACGTAGAATAACCGCCTTGTGTTCTATCTGCCGATCAAGAGAGCGTTTTCGTTTTAATATCGCAAACTCGGCATATACAGAAAAGTGATAAACAAATATCTCAATTATACTCACAATGCGACAGTCAAGAAGCTGTTTTGCAAAGCGCTACAATTAATACGTTTGTGCACGATTAAAAATATTCTCGCGTCGTTCGCACCAATTTCCGATCGTTTCTAATGTAACGATTAAACTACGGGTTTCGTGATGCAACTTCTATCGAATTCTAAATCTTTAACCAATACGTCTTACTTTCTTTCTTCTCTTTTTACTATATATTGAATTTTCCGTCAAATGGATAACAATGAATTTAAAGTCTACACAGAAAGGGTGACACAGAGAAATGATACGGCAGATCATTGCGTATAAGTTAAGAGTTAAAATCTCGTAGAAGCGCGTTGCGTGACAATCGAACAACTTAAAAACGCAAAAATAATATTCAACAATATGAGGAAACACAAGATATACCCATTAATTTTTTTCTTTCTCTCTCTCTCTC